CTGAACTGCAAAGGTGGTCCACCCTCTTGTGTTATAAATCTTAATATATGTGAGCTGGTGGTACACAATGTACTATGGTACACAAAACAAACATTATTAGTTAATACGTTTTTAATTGGGTACATTCTTAGTTTTTCACAATTGCTAAGACACATTTCTTGAAACCTTCATTCATTTTCTCGAAACTTTAAACACAAAACCTAATCTTTAAACGACATTCACAAAACCCCTTTCTCTTCTGGCAAAATCAGACATTCGCCTCAACACCATGTGATCTATGCGCAAAATCAATATGTAAAACACTACAGAGCATTCTTTAAACACTATGAAAAACAATTAGAACACAGAGTCCAGGGCATAAAGTTACAGTTTGCATCTAGGAAACACATTTTCCAATATAAAAAGAATAGTAATCACAACTTATTACAATAAATATATAGTAAACTGTAAGTACTGCAAGTAATACAGTATTGAATATCTGTATATTCAGCACTTGCATATAAATACAGTACTGTAAGCCCAAAGAACAAAGAAAACTCTAAATGAAAAGCCTATTAAGTCAATGAGAGATTCATTCTGCCTCAGCATCACGTCTTTGTGCTGTGTCTGGCCAGAGAATTTTGACCTCATCACATGCAACCTTGTCCCTTGCCAAGCAAAGAAGGAAAACCTTCTGGTGTGCTGGATGCAGCCTTACTGTAACAACACTCTACACCTATCTCACCACAGGTTAATTCCATTGCCTGTAAGAGATTTTCCCTAGTAAATGAATTTCGGTCCACCACCAGGCAAAGAAAAATTCCTTTATTGGATTGAGGTAAGGGCTTTATGGTTGAAGGTAAACATTTATGAATCACTGGTTGCTGGTTTATGTTGAACCACTTGCTTAGCGGGACACCACAGTGAAAGCTGACATTGTCCCATAGACAGGATTTGCTGCCGGCTGATGATCCTGCTGCTTACACTCTTTGCCTACAGCAAAGAGCTATACATGTAGGCTTTGCACCTTTCTATTGTAAATGCTTTGTCTCATTTATTTTGATGATTTGACTTTTAACTCCTCTGTAATTGCATTTAGACTCTATGTGGAGCCAATCTGACCTATGACCCCTCACATCACTTGCTCTGAAGCAAGTGTAGCATGAGCTGGCACCGACATTTGGACCCTTGATGCGAGCTCAGTCTGAGAAAAATTACAGTCTTCAGCCACCTGAGTCTGCTTCAAATGTCGGCAATTCACTGACTCATGGAAAGATTGGGGAAGTGCAGGGTTGAATGTCAAGTAGTGCTTTTTAAACTAATTGCCTTCAGTGTCTTTGGAGAAGCCGCTGTGGGCTAGGGCTGATTAGAAAGGAAGCTTCAGGAATCTGACCACCTGATGAGTAGATGGGTATTGTTGCACTCTAATGGAAACATCTCTAGTCGAACAAGAATGGTGCACAATTTGTGTTACAGCACATTTAGTTTGTTGGTTGCCTGGTTTTGCTGTTATTCTAGAGTAGGATATTTTTGACATGCCACTTGACTTTACTGAAAATTTACACTTATTTGTACAAAAACAAATGTAATGTTTTTCATCTGATATGTGAATAAAAGGAAGACTGTAGACTCGAGCAGGACCAAATTGTTTTTTTAACTGCAAGTCTAAATTTCTACAAGTTTCTTTTTTTTTTACTTATCTATATATAAACTGCTCAAAAAAATAAAGGGAACACTAAAATAACACATCCTAGATCTGAATGAATGAAATAATCTCATTAAATACTCCTTTCTTTACATAGTTGAATGTGCTGACAACAAAATCACACAAAAATTATCAATGGAAATCAAATTTATCAACCCGTGGAGGTCTGGATTTGGAGTCACACTCAAAATCAAAGTGGAAAACCGCACTACAGGCCAACTTTGATGTAATGTTCTTAAAACAAGTGAAAATGAGGCTCAGTAGTGTGTGTGGCCTCCACGTGCCTCTATGACCTCCCTACAACGCCTGGGCATGCTCCTGATGAGGTGGTGGATGGTCTCCTGAGGGACCTCCTCCCAGACCTGGACTAAAGCATCCAACGCCACGTTGCACCACAGACTGTCCAGGCGTTGGTGGATGGAGCGAGACATGATGTCCCAGATGTGCTCAATTGGATTCAGGTCTGGGGAATGGGTGGGCCAGTCCATAACATCAATGCCTTCCTCTTGCAGGAACTGCTGACACACTCCACCCACATGAGGTCTAGCATTGTCTTGCATTAGGAGGAACCCAGGGCCAACTGCACCAGCATATGGTCTCACAAGGGGTCTGAGGATCTCATCTCGGTACCTAATGGCAGTCAGGCTACCTCTGGCGAGCACTTGGAGGGCTGTGCGGCCCCCCAAAGAAATGCCACCCCACACCATTACTGACCCACCGCTAAACCGGTCATGCTGGAGGATGTTGCAGGCAGCAGAAGGTTCTCCTCCTCCACGTCTCCTGATGTACTGGCCTGTCTCCTGGTAGCGCCTCCATGCTCTGGACACTACGCTGACAGACACAGCAAACCTTCTTGCCACAGCTCGCATTGATGTGCCATCCTGGATGAGCTGCACTACCTGAGCCACTTGTGTGGGTTGTGGACTCCGTCTCATGCTACCACTAGAGTGAAAGCACCACCAGCATTCAAAAGTGACCAAAACATCAGCCAGGAAGCATAGGAACTGAGAAGTTGTCTGTGGTCTCCACCTGCAGAACCTTTATTGGGGGTGTCTTGCTAATTGCCTATAATTTCCACCTGTTGTCTATTCCATTTGCACAACAGCATGTGAAATTGATTGTCAGTCAGTGTTGCTTCCTAAGTGGACAGTTTGATTTCACAGGAGTGTGATTGACTTGGAGTTACATTGTGTTGTTTAAGTGTTCCCTTTATTTTTTTGAGCAGTGTGTGTATATATATATATATATATATAGGCTGTGGCTACATGTGGATACTGTATAGTATATTTGTTGAAATTATTTTCAGCTGTGGATTAATAGTCATTTTGAGTACTGATGGCAGCAGGATGTAGCCCATTTATATGTTTTTTTAAAAATCCTTTTTAGACAAACAATGCAGATCAATGGCATAGAGGAACACATAGATCAAGCATGATAAGTTCAATTAATTGTTGTTTTTAGGCTTTTAATTATAATTATTGACAACAGTAAAAATGTAGAATATCACCAGTCTTATTTAAAAAGCTGGGAAAGAAATATGAGTACAGTTATGGGACTTACTAAATGCCTCGTTAACTCATTGTAAAATACACTTAAATTCAAACTTAACAAAATATTCTGGCTGGACACACTGCAGCAGTTTATATGATGTCCAAGTTCCCCCTCACTCTTCTCCCACTTGAGTGCCCGTTCCCCTCACCCTGATACAGTTCTGCTAACAGGTCCATTGCGTTAGCTGCACGGCTAACTGAGCTAACTAGCTAACAGCAGTTAGCAGGATTTATGACCTGATATGTGTCCTGACTTTTTTGTTCTACTGGGTGTCTTCTCAGAGAAAACAGACATAACTATTGGGGTCCTACAAGGTTCTATTTTAGGTCGAGTCCTTTTTAGTCTATATGCTTCCACTTGGCGATGTCATCAGAAAGTATAAAAATTAGTTTCATAGCTATGCGCAGATGACCCCATTAGTGTAAAGTTTAGATGACATAAATGTATGGATGTCACACAACATCCTACAGCTGCATAAAGACAGAGATCATAATATTTGGTGCAAAAGTCTATAGACAGCAACTGTCCTACCTTGGAGTCATCTTGGATATTGAACTCAGTTTTGAAGCCCACATTAGAAATGTCACTAAAGTGTCATTTTGTCATCTTAGGAACATTGTTAAGGTGTCTGGGAAGATTCTCAGTCATCCAGGTCATGTTATACATTAAGGTTAAAATTAAGGGCAACTGGACTTGATCGAAGACTAGTGCTGGGCAACGATTAAAATTTTGAATCGCGATTAATCGCATGATTTTCTTGCAGTTAATCGCAATTAATTGCATTGTTATGCGTAAAATTGAATAATAAATTTTATAGTAGTCTATTGCACACTTTTAATTTAAATAAGAAAAAAAAACCTTTATTTGTCCCACAGTGGGGAAATTGCAGTTGTGGGGAAGTGCAATAACATGTGGTTTGCAACACTTTAAACAAATAATGTGCTTTTTACCAGCAGTATTCCCTTTACACGGTAGCACTAAAATATTTCTTTTAAATCTCAACTTAGCCTAAATATTAATGTAATCAAATCAAAGCTATTTGCCACTGCTAAGGCATTACCTTTTAGCTAGCTTGTTAAAACAAGTTACCATCAGAGTCCAGTTTTCTTGGAGGGGGGGGTTTCTGAACAGGTATCAGCAGTCTATGTATGTTTGTTCATTAGCAAGGTGAAGTGGTCGAGGATGCATTCTGATGAAACTGTCGCGGTTGTGCTTGCCTCATGCACACGCCTGCCGAAGTTGAATTGTCTTGAACTTTTTTACGTGACTGTTAGGGATCACAGAAAGGACTCGTGAGCAGAAGTTGGCAGGCACACAGGCAGGACTTTATTTAAAGAGCTCAGAGATGGGCAGGCGGACCGGCAAGCAGTGAGCAACAGACTGGTGATCCAGAGTGCAGGCAGGCAGCGACTCTGCACCAGGGTGAAACTGTGGCAGACAGGAAAGAAGAGGTTAGGCAAGATCACAAAAGGTATTTAGGCAAACTAGGAAATAGGCCAGAGCGATATACCACTGTGGATAAACAGACAAACTGGTGACGAGTGGAGACTGAACCAGAGCTTAAGACTGTAGGCGTTGATGAGTTGATGAGTCCCAGGTGCGGAGTGCTGCAGGTGGAGAGAGGCCAGGCTCGGACACGCCCAACCACACACAGACATGGGACAAGACACACATGACTGACAGAAACAACAGGGGCGGGGAAACTGAGAACAAGAGGAAAAGAGGGGAGAGAGACCAACCCACGACAGTGACGCGCAGCACAAATCACTGGAAGAGAGACTGATCCTTGCTGTTTGTGAGTTTCCAGAATCAGTTCACCAGTTTACTAAATAGTTATCAGGACATCAACAGGAGGGAATTCACATGGCAGAGCATCCCTGCAAAACTAGGCCTATCAAGTAAAGTTATGTAGCCTATAATTTAATTAATTTAAAGCGCACAGAAGCCGTTGCCATGGTTACTCTCAATAGAGCGCCTGCTATTTACTCGTGGAGCGCTGTCTTACTTATCCCACTCGTTGCATCCAAGTAGTATGCTGAAGCCTCCCTCCACTGCTTGTTTGGGTGGGTGATTTGCAGACTGATCAACATCTCACCCGTCCAGTGATCCATGGTTTGATTTTATGTGTATTAAGAGCTAGTGAGCAACAGACTTTCAAAATAATAATAATTTTTTTAAAACTGCGTTAACGTGCAATAAAGTAATTGTAGGCATTAATTAATGCAATAATAACGATTTAACGTGCCCAGCCCTGTTGAAGACACTTGAAGACGTTTCGCCTCTTATCCAAGAGATGTGAAAGAGACAATTTACACCAGAATAAAGAAACCATCACTCAACTGGGGAGGAGGGCTGACGCCACCACTTATCCCCCACTTAAAATGCTGTCCTTTAATCTCATCCCAGGAGACTGAACAAACATTTGGCATCATGTAACAATGCCAACGACTATATCGACTGTCGTTACAACAGCCAGGAGCTCTAACTAACCAAGCGGTAAAAATCCCTACACCTACAACACTACACCTAGTGTTCTATTGCTTGAAGGATTTTAACGGGCTTATTGCACAAAAAATCCAAAAACAGAGCTGAATTCTCAGAGCACACATTTCATGCAGAAGCAAAGTAAATCTAAGTGCAACCGGGGTCTGTTTTACACAACATCTCAAGTGGATTGGAAAAATAATAGACGTGGACAGGTGCCCAAATAAGCTTCTTTGATTGGCCAAAATGGTTCTCTGATCGCTGCCCCCCATAAGTAACTTTTGCTCCACATTTCACTGAGAAATGTGGTGCAAAAGTGAAAGCGCATGGGACTTGTTATTCGAGAGTGACAAAACAGCATTTGAGACTCGTAGCAGCAGATTCAAGCAGTTGTAGTTGTTGTTACTGACTTGTGTTTCTGCTAGAAAAATATGTAAGATTTTTTTTTGTGAGAAAACATTCTACAGGAGTGCACATCCCTGATGCATGATACATGAATGTGTTTTGCACCATATTCACTGCAGCAAAAATGTGAGCATCTGAGTGTCTTAATTTGTGATTCGTAGCAGAGTGTTAGGAGTGTGGTTTTTGTGTTCATGTCTTTCCTGTTTAAGTCTGTTTTTGGTTCTTGTTTCTCTGTGTAGTCTTGTTCAGTTAGTTCCTAGTCCTGTACATTAGTTAATATCTTTTGTGTTTACTCCTGGTCTTGTGTTCCCTGTTTTGTCTTGTGTATTCCCTTGTTCATTTACTGGTTCTGTTTAGCTCGTAATTGTGCATTCTTGGTTATTCACCCATGTCTGCAAGTGTTCTCTCTGTTACCCCCTGTTGTCTCTGCCTGCCTGCCTCTCTGTGTTCCTGCTGTCTCTCTGCCTCCCTCGTTAGCCTCATGTCTGTCACCTGTGTTGCTCCCGCCCTGCTCGTTATCCCTGGTATATATGCGTGGTCTTTCTGTTCAGCCCTTGTCCGGTCATTGTTGGTGTTACTCCCTGTCATTCGTGGTTCCCGTCTCCCAGTCTCGTCCAGTATTTCGTCTTTCTATTTTCTGCTCTTGGTGTTTTGGATTACCTGTGTTGATAAAATAATTTATCACTGAATTTATCAATTCAAATGTGTTACAATTACAACAGTTGAATTACCACTATTATTACTGCATACTACTATAATACTGATTGAGAACTGCAGAAACAATAATAATAGCAAATTGCAATAGGGAAAATTTATTATTTTTGGCTGATAAAAAAATCTGTCAGGCCTGTACATTTTTTCATCAAACAAGCACCTCGGCAGGTACGACAAAAAGAAGTGTTTTAGTGGTGTAAAAGCATGCATTAACCTCTTAACATTCCTGTAAAATTCATGCAAAACGCCTATTCAAGGGATATCCAAAGTAAATTGAATGTAGTTCTTGAACCATTTGGAGTATGTGCATGGCTTTGGGCTTCTCTGAAAGATAACCCAAAAGTCAGAATGATTGTAAGTGGAATTGATTAATATAAGTTTAAATACATTTAAACTAATATATTTTTCATTTCCGCTTGAAAATGCTTGCTAACAAATGCATGCAGACAAAAATAGCTGGGACTTATTAGCTGGAAAACACTGTAGGGCCACGGCATAAAGCCTTACCTAATCCTAGTTTAAATTTCATACCAATACCATGAAAAATGACTATTTTACACAGGTTTTTCTAAGCGTATTCTTTCTAAAACAGCACCGCCCCTTGGCGCAGGCGGCTGCTGCTGCATCACTCCGTATCAGCCGGTAGCTTGATGCAGATGTGTTTTTTTTGCTGGTAGATCATGAACCTCCGACTTAAAGCTAGATATCGTTATTTGCAGAATGTTATTGGCTGCACGACGTGCCAGTCATGGGCACAATGGTTTTCAATAGGCTCAGCCTACCCACAAAATAAAGGGGCTGGCCCTTTCTTACAGCGCGGGCTCTCGTTGGCTGTTGTAGTCTGTAGGGGAAAAAAAGGGAAATGTGAGCTCCTACTGGGTCGAATTTGGTGTCACTCGAAAGGTCAGAGTTCAGCAGCTAATTTTAATACAATATATCGTAGTTATTTACATTCAACATCGTTATAATGACATACGAGCCACGTCTGCCGGCAAATATGAAACAATGCGGCAACAGTCCCTGGGGATTTATTGATGGAATAATGTGTTTTGGACTAAATATTTTTACTGGATTGGATCGTTTGGACCTTTGACAACGTAACAAGACCATTTTTGTCGGATTATAATCAATCAGTGGATTACTGTGAGGCTTTATATGTGAATCGTGTCATTTTTGATTGTACCGGTTGGTCTGACAGAGGCGCTGATTGGACCCGCTGTGGTGATAGTATCTTGAAATGGTTTGCTTGGTCGAATCACAAGGATTTTAGCCTTCAAACGGTGTATCGTATGAGTATGAATCTAACATAGCAGCTGTGTGCACATACCGAAAGCTGCTGCCAGGAACTGACGGGCCGTTGGAATGTTAAGAGGTTCTATATTAGTAGATCCCCCTCCTGGTTTGTGCTGGTTTATGTTATGGTCATGTGCCTGTAACTTGCTTTATGTAGCACACAGAGAGGGCACAAAGGGAGGTACTTCTCATTTTTATACTTATCATTTATTCCCATCTCTTTTCTTTTTTTGAGATTTAACCAAAGGGCCCTGTCAACAGTTTTTAATACTGTATCCACCCTTAACGTAAAATAATAAATATAGTCAAAAAATAAATGTCTGTTTCCACAATCAGAGAGCCTTAGTTTCACTGATGAAGCCAATGAAATTAAATTAAAACATGCAAACAGTACATTTAAAAACACATCACTCTCATTCTTTGCATGTGGCCATTTTTCACAAGTCGTTTTAACATACTGTCATCAACATCAGGTTTCTTGTTGATATGTAATAACACATTCCCTGCCATCGCAAGTGAAAAGTTGAGTATTAAAACACTTGTGATTTTTGAACACTTACACTCACAACAGTAAAGATACTATAAAATTGAATTACTATACAAACAGAAAAAAAGCTCAGCAGAAGACCAATATATTGTACAGAACTTCTGTTAAGGACAGTATCACATTTTAAAAGCACCCTTAACGTTATTGACATTTTCTAAATAACATAAATCAATGAATTTGAATTCTGAGAACACATACCTCATATTTGCAAATGATGTCATTTTAAGGTGCACATTTCAGAGGACTGGAAAATGACTCACTAATTAGACAGTGACAGAACTGCAGAACTGCAGTCTGTTAAATTTCTCACAGATCTGAAATGAACACCAATTTAGGCCTTGGCATGCAAATTCAAACCACATTGAAATACAAGAGATTGCTTTTTTCATCTGGCCATCTTCATCTGAAAAGGGGAAATGATTTATTTTTGTGCAAATAAATTCATTGACTGAGAGCTTAATTAACCGGTGATTCATGATTTGGGTTAAGTCCAACTCTTCCAAGCTTTCAGAAGAAACTCATTTTCTAGGACAACATTGATTCTTTTTTATTTCTTCAAATAGCCCTCCCTTTTCACTCAACTGATGAGTTTAGTGCACATCTGACTCACGATTTCCTGTCTTGACTGAATACAGAAATCATAAATATGGAGAGGGAATGAAGCATTCTCTTAACTGTACTAATCACAGCAAGTACAAATCAGTACAAGGTACAGTCACGTCTAAAGTGAGTAAGTGACAAGTTTTACTGAATGCTTTTCAGAGACACGATTCACAAATTGCTTTACAAAAAACTTAAAACCTAACATACAAGAACAAAAACACAAAAATTACCACCCGAGCATCCTGAAACAGTGAACTGAAGTGAAGTGAAGCTAAAAACACTCGTTATAAAAATACATAAAACATACAATACACATAATAAAAATCTAAAATACATTAAAAGATACATAATAATTGGACTGTACATAAAGAATACAATAGATTGATATAATTCACAAAATAAATAAATAAGAATATTTTTATCTAACATGCATGGCGGGTGTGTTGCTGTGGACCCAAGGGAGTGCGGGCTTATGCTGCCCCGATCTGCAGCAGCAAGACGGTTATCATCATCATGCAGGTTTGATATATGTTAGAAATAAATGTGTTGAAATGTAATTGGAAGAGTTCAATTCTAGCGAAGCATTGAATATTTAGCTGTATCTCCTCCGCCATTGTTATGTTGTTTCATTGTTACTATTGCTGTAGGTCAGGGGTCGGCAACTACGTTTTAGTGTCGGGTTGTGTGTCCATTCCCCATTTGCGCGAACATATTTTTTTCCCTCTTTAACAAATTAACTATGAAGAGACTTTTTCACTTGCTCACAATAAAGCATGTGCTCAAGCGTGTGCATCCTGGCGACTGATCCACATCCATCAACCTAGTGATGCTTATTTTATATAGTATTTATTTATTTATCTACGTATTATTTATCCCACAGGTCGCTTATTGCCAACTACTACTGTAGGTAAAACCAATGTGAGACGCACAATGTGAAAAAAAAGCCCAGGGAGGCACCACAGTGGCCCCTGTGAACGGGCACTGCACTAGAGTTACATACAGTTTTTCTCGATTGCTTAAACACATTTCTTGAAATTATGCCTCTTTTTCTCGAGACTCTAAACACAAATCCACAAATTCTCACCCAATTCCCCCAAAATCCTATTTTCAGGTCAAAATGAAGCTCTCCACTCAAAACCATTCAATCTTGCTGAAAAACCAAACTTTGTCCTCAGACATAACACACAAGCCCTCAAACACACACACACACACACACACACACACACACACACACACACACACACACTACAACACAGTTTTACACATTGGTGAGAAAAATTCAAAACAATACTACAAAAACTATTAGTGATGTTGCTTGTGGTTCTCCCCCTCAGAAAGACAGGCCAGAGATTCTTGTTCTCCATTTCCTTCACCACCTACTCTTCTACCCTCTACCTCCGCCACCTCCTCCTCCTCCGCCCTACTCCTGCTCTGCCTCCTCCAACTCCTACTGTTCCTCTTCCTTCACCTCTTACTCCTCTCAATACTGCGTTTAGTCCTCCTCCTCCTCTTCTTCCTCTTCCTCCTCTCTGGTGTCCTACACCTGTTCCTTCAGATGTCTCAAAACTGAATGAACTGAGCCTGGCCCTTTTATCTATCTAGAAGCTTCTGATAGGTGTGTTATCAGTTTGACTGTTTGTGTTTCCATCTTGGTAGTTGTGTGCTATTTGAGCTCAATCTGTGCTGATTGAGTGAACAATATCAAATGTTAGTGCTTTCTAAATGACAATATGGTGTTGGCAATAAGAAATGAAGTGATTTGTGTGTAGAGTTTAGGGAAATGGCTGTGCTTTTTGAAAAATGAAGTTCAAAAGCGTGGTTATAGTGTTTAAGCAATGGAGAAAAAATTGTAATAAACGTAATCTGTGGGGCTGTTGCAATTTAGTTGTAATAAATTTAATTTCTAGGAGACAGGTGTGGGTCGGAATGTTAAATATTGAATTGGGAGGAATAAAGGGAAAAAACCCTACCTTACCACTGCTACATAATGAAGTATGTTTATCTGTTCCTCCAGCTTCTGAGTGGTATTCACTGACCCCCCTGGCTACCGAAGATGCCAGAAACCTCTTCAAGCTTGGTGCTTCTGGGAGGAACAGTGATTGAGGTACACTCACAGCGTTACCATCTGGAAGGGCTCTTCAGACAGGCAAACAGAATCTCCCAGAAGACAAACCTCTCCTGCTGCTGAAGACCTTGAACCACTTCCAAATGTCTTTGTTGGGGATGATATTCCTCTGCAATGAAGGCAACAGGCATTCAGCATAACAACTTGTAATATAATGAAGACACTGAGCTCGGTCAGGCTCGCATCAGGAGGCTGGTCCTCCTGGTACAGAGGCCATTCCCAGAGTGTGCACTAACAACCGAGCACAGTAGATCACAGTAGATGATGGTTTTGAGACCTCCTTTTATTCACCAGCTGGTAAAGTGCCAAGGCAGCATCAAGTGCTCTGAAGTTGTTAGTCTTTCCACTGTTCACCTCCTCACCTGCCACCATCCAATCTGCAGCTCTCGACATACACAATCTGCTCTCCAAAACAAAAGCTCAAACAACCAAACCTGTGTCCAAAAAAGGAAACAGAGAATTTGAGACACAAACACACTTGTGTCATCAGTAGTTTAATATTACAGATGCCACAGCAAGTCTGTGGGGACCTTTTGATATTTTCAATTCAATTCTATTACACCTCAAATGTGTTCTCAGGGGACAATGAAATTAAAGTTCAATTGCAATTGGCAGTTACGTCATCTTGTCAAGAGATCAGGAATCAGCATAGTTCAAGTTGCACTATAAATTATTGTAAATCCACAAACTGTTACATTTTTAGTGTTTGTGATAAGTTTATCAGCTATTTGTGTCTGTCATTTGGCTTTCATGACTATGAGCTGTTGCTTAAAATAACTGTCTCAGTGACGGGGGAAGAATTTTATCACCTTGCAAAATGTGCACTGTAAATCATCCGACACCTCTGGGCTATTTTTCACCAGCTTAAATTGGGACATAGCCTATATATTCCAGAGAGAAAGTTTTGATGGTGCAAACAAACACCTTTCCTTTACAAAAGTTAAACCAGGTAAAGGGGAAAAACGTTCAAGCAGGACAGGATCTCAGAGCAATATACAGCAGTACTACTCCTTGAAAAGTTTGCTATAGTGACTGGCAGCAAGTCGCAAGGGAACCTCTTCTGCTGGAGTAATACTGTACTACGCCCTGGGCTGTCTTGGACATTTGCACCAATATCATGTTGACTAGAAATTTGTGTGTGCACTGCAAATTCTCGGCCTCTTTTGAAGCAAATCTTTGAGTACTCTAGTCACTATATTTATTAACAATGTTATGCTAATGCTAGCTTGACTGTCAAACATTAAAGATCCTACAGTATGTGTAATCTCTGTTTCAATGCTGACCTCTACCTCATAATCCTGCAGTGTGATTGACAACAAATCAAAGTAGACACACAGCCCCAGCCATCCACATGCCTGTCGTTAAAGTTAGTTTATTGTTTGCATTTCCAAATAGATTTTTACTTAACTAACAGGTAAATAGGATGTAAGTCGATTTGCAAGTCCCAGATGGCGCACGTCCTCTGGTACTGGCCACAGCACTTATACTCTGTCCTGAAGTGATTGAAAGAAGAACACACATTTTGTAGGAAAATGGGAACTAAAATTTTTACATTTACAGGTGGGGTACCTATGCGAATCTAATCAATACACTTTTTGTCAAATTCATTGTGAATATCTCCTCATGGACCACTAGCTGTCTGTTCTGTATCCAGTGTTTGTACACAGCCCTGGCTCTGTAAATAGGACACAAACAAAGTGGCTTGGACCGAGCTACACAACACCATTCCAGCCGTTCCAGCCATGATTTATGTGTCACGTAAATGACTTGTCCACGGACATTCAGCTTACTTTCTAGTTTGCCAACATATGCTGTTGTTGTGAACATGGCTATAGTAGCAGGTATCGCTGTCTGGAGCTGGTGTGCTGTCTCATTCTGTCTGCGTGTTAGCTTTGCAGCAGCAACTGTAACACCAGTTTGCTTACCCACACTTAGCTAATGTTAGTTACAGTACTTGCTGTGTCGTCGTTTGCTCTATCTTTAATACCTATACAGTGGAACATTTTTTAAAAAGTTAGTTCATAGGAAGCTAGGGAACCTCACACAGGCATTTACATTGAGAAGTAATTGGCTCACTAAATCTGAAATGACTTAAAGCACTTGGATTTTAAGGGGCAACCACATGGATATAAAAAGTAAGTTGAAAATCAGACGAAAGCATTTTAGTAAGAACTTAGAAGAAAAAGCATTGTCTCAGTATTGACCTTTTGTATAGTTTTTAAATCACTACTGACTAAATGAGAGAGAACTCCATATTCTGAACTAATGCCCTCTTAATCACTCTCTGCAGGCAAGTGTGGTAGCATAATTTCCTGTTCTGGATGAGACTTGCGGACAGGCAATACTGTCCAGGAAAAGGCAATCTGCATATTGGAACGCATAGAGAATAGGTGATTGGCTTACCATTTGGCTGCGAAACAAAAATTCTTCATAACAAATAGAGTAATGTAGATCAACTACATCTGTGTACATTCTAGATAAATGAAAAACCAAGTGTAAATGGGGTTGTAATCAATGTGATAGGCTATAACATATGTATGATTCCTCAAAAATGGGCTTCTGCTGCAGATTTTCTAAACCCCAGACCCTGAGTTATACTCCAAATTAATTCATAGTGCTAGAGTGTACACAGTCTACTTAAACTGAGACAAAGTCGTTTATTGAATGAATTGTTTAAAAAAAATGGATTATCGCCCACTCTCAAATAAGCTTTAAGGAGAGGATTGCACTAATTGCAATTTATTTAGGGTGCTGGTGTGCTACATTTCTACGATTACAAAGCATGTTTGCATTGTAACTTTTTTCAAACACATAATGCCACTGCAAATAACAGCTTGCTAACATTACCTTCAGTAGACAGAATGTGCAAGAGAATCTGAATCAAATGAGAATCCAGCTAATGAATAATTTATTTAATAATGCTCATTATTAAATAAAATTATTACTGAACAAAAGTGTTCATTAAATGTACCAATTAATAATACCAATTCTGTGTTCTGTTTCGACTATGCCTAGCTTACTGTATGTAGAATGACTATAATAGTAATTGTTTGTTTTGTCTTTTAAAAAAAATCTATTTACAAATTGTGGCACATGTACAAATCCAGAGTGCCATGTTAAAAAAAAACAATAAATAATTAGATTAGATTAGATAGATTAAAAAGTAAAACTAGGAATACAGGTACTTGGCTCAACCTATGATGGATTTTTGAGTGGAGTTTAAAATTATGATCTTGATATACATAGACATATAGATATAGATTGATACTGTGATGAAGGTATGTACTGAACAAGACACTACACTGTTTAAAAATAAACTTGTCAGTGCTCTCTCGTGCATAAATAATGTTATGGTACCCATGTTTCTAAACTACCTCAAGCATATCTTTGGAGCTTCTCTACACACAAGCCAATACAGACATAATGTGCAAAAGTTGTAAAGTGCTGAAAAGAAAGAACGCTTTCAAAAATAGACATGTTAATATATTTTATTTATCAATTAACACAAAGTGGGTGATAATTCAATAAGTAGGTTGAAACACAATCATTAACTGAAACAGAAACAGCTGTGTAGGAGCGATAAAATTGCGCAGCAACCCCAGTTGAAAGCTAATACATAGACCATTTAATTTATTTTGTTTCACATACTGCTCCTGAAGTTCAAGATTGAAGAGTCATGCTCAAACTTGTCATTTTAAGAATAACTAAATAAAAGGGAAAATATTGTCACCAAGTACTGAATTTTATGGAGGGCAGGCTGGCCTCAGTTTGAGTCAATGAATTCAAATAATTTTCATTCGAGTCCCAAATCAGAAATTTTCATTCAAGTCCTGTGAAACATTCAAATTGTAGATTTATGGAGGCACTAATATTTAGCTATATCGTGCATTTGGACTCCTTTTCGAGCCATTGGATTGGAGAAACTAAATTATACAGAAAGAGGACTACTGTTTGTAAGAACTTACTGTAATTGAATAATAAATAATTAAACTTAACAAAAATGTGCGTTGAGAGAATAAATTCACTGGAGGAAAACATTGCTGAGGTAAGATACTACATGTCCACAACTTTGCAACTGCAACATTGTACTACTATCAAAGAGTGCCAGGACATAACAATCCGAAGCCATATCCATTAAACTTCACTGGTCTAAGAAAGTTTGTTCACCAGTTGAATTTTGAATTTTTGAATAAAGGCTTAATATTGAACAATGAATTATCTTTCATGTTTGGAATTAGATAAATAGATCTGCATTTAAAAAAAATCAGAATCGGACAGAAATAAAATGCAATCAGTGCATCTCTCAATCTCTCGCAATTTCAAAGCTAAAGGTTTAAAGAGGTAATTAGTTTAAAGGCAGGGTAGGTCAGTTTGAGAAACTAGCAAGAAACTGATGGATTTTGAAAGTATCCAACTGAGAAACTCCCTCCCCCTCCCTTCTGGGCTCCTTCCAAAGCCACGCCCCCAAAACATGTAAACACGCGTTGCCGACACCGCAGGAGGACGAGCAGTGTGACGAGTGGAGAGGAGCCCAGAGCAGCGGCTCACATCAGCAGTAAGAAAACATCTAACTTTATCATTATTATTATTATTATGAAAATAAACAACTAACCCGGCTGTTAGTACTCACTATCAAGCTAGCATGTTATTATTGGATAGGTCTAAAAAGACCGAGTTGGCTAACTAACTGTTAGCAACAGGTAGCTGTGCTAACAGCTGTGGTAACGTTGGGCACAGCTAAAAACAGGCTGATACACATTTTCCCGTTCCCATCAGTTACACTACACAAACGTGAATTTCGCGTTAGACTCATAACATGTGCGTTGTTTTGCATGTTAGAGCTTTCACGGTGACAGCAATATTGTCTCTGATGAGTAATGGACTCCAGAGGCAAGCACAGACCGGGACAGGACCGGGGGCGAGGAGAAGCAGAGGAGGGAGGGCTGCCAGGGTCCGAGGAAGAAGAGGCAGGACGGGGAGGACGAGGTGCAAGCCAAGGAGCACATCTTCTAGGACTTGCGTCGAGCTTCACGCTCCAACAACGGCATACATATATGACAGGTGTGTATATATACATATATGTTTTAATATTATTACATTATCTCCCAGTGTACTTGTCTCAAAGTTTCTCTGGTGTTTCCCCCTAAGCCCTTTGGGTGTCAAAAATAAAGTGCTATATAAATGTGATCCGTCGCTAATGTTATTACTTTTTTATTATTGTTTACTGATTATAACAACTAACTACAGCTCTGCTTCAGCCATCGATGTCATGTACATTGACCTGGTGTGTAATGTGGACACAGAAGTCCTGACAGAGAATAACAAACCTCTGTTCAATAAAAATATCTAATGATAAATGTTCTTTCCAATTACACCAATCTTTCCAATTTGGGGTTCTAACAACTATATATTCCTTTACAGGCCAAAATCTGAGGACTGAGGACAACATCCAGACTACTGTGTTTCCATGCACCACACATGGCTGATCTTCCAGACCTAGGACAGAGTAACAGACAGTTCAGTCAGGCAGCATACAGACAGTTTGTAGTGTGGCAGTGTGGAGCACTAGGACGGGCTCACAGTCGTGATACTGAGTTGCTGTTTCTGGAAGATATGCAACTGTTCTCCTGATCCACCAGGACAATACAGAGTTTTAATCCTAGCAGGGTGTAAGATGTAATGTCACAAATAATTCCCTCCACTGTGTGAATGAATACAAGTTCATTGTTTTTGTTTCATGCCCAGGAGGGTAGAGAAAATACAAAGATTTTTCCCTGTTCTGGATAATATTTTCATTCTTTTTTAAATAAAACATTGAAAATGATAAATACCTTTTCTTTACACTTACAGCATAAACAATCAAGCAACTACATTTATGTCATATGTCTCCAATAATGACATTCAAATTTGGTATAACACTTGTTTATTGTTATTATATACTACTAAAACTACAACCTATATCACAAATAGATCAATTTAAACATCATTAAAAGTAAGTATATACAGGAAGAGACAAGCTGTGTCCAGAGGTATGTTGACTGATTATGAAGACACTTCAGACTTTGCATGTAGCATCGTATCGCTGCTGTGGAGATGATTTAATATATCACAGTCACCTCTCTGACATGATTACCACAGTTCAAAACTGTATCAACTGTATCTAGCAACACAGTTGGGGCAGGGACACCTGACTGAACCCCATGTTGACGGGGATCATCAGGTCTTCTGGTTCTGCTTCTAGGCATCTCCTCAGTAGTAGACAAG